TATTCGAACCGTCGGAAAACCCTGAGGCTGCGTTACATATACTGTTTTTTTGATTCTTCCGTTCAGGAATGCAGCTTCTACCTCCATTTGTTTTATGTGGAAGTTATTTTGGCAGCAAAAGGATAACAGGATTTTTAACGTTTGTGACTTAAAAACCGGTTAGTAAGTACTGTCAATCTCACCCCTTTGCGGAAAACCTTTTGCAACTATACGTGCTTTGAACTTTCCGTCAGCTTTCTTTCTATAAACCCATTTGAGATCAATGATTGTCTCGTTAGTTGGCCTTTCTACTAATTTCCATGTCTTATTTTTATTGATATTGTCATACTCAGCGTTCATTTCCTCCGTCCAGTGTTGAGCTTCCCTTGAGCTTGTAGCTTCTTCGTAAAATTCTGGAACCATAGCATTACAATAGTTAACGTAAATTGTTTGGTAAGCAAATTGACCGTCCTTTGTTGATTTATCTGTTCTAGCTGATCTACGTGGAATTTATTTCGCTTTATTTTCAATGACAGTCTCTTCATGGTCGATAAAGCCACTGCTAACATTTGGGCTGGAGACATCTGGGCGTCCCTCAACTTTTGAACTCCCCTCTTGTTTTAACTGTATTGGACTACTTGCTTTCAGGGGATTTGAGATAACGGAACTGTCCGTGCTGAAATCAGATTCTTCATCCTCAACTTGACATATTAATTTTATATCTTGATCTAGTACGTCTACGTGTCTAACTATAACTGCTTTGCCGTTTAAGAGGACACGGTATCCTACATCGGAGTAACCAACCAATGTACCTATATCACCCTTTTTGTCCCATTTATAATTTCTCTTTTGATCAGGATTCTTACACATACCTTGCTCCCAAATATTTTTAAATACTCAGCGTCTGGCCTTTTGTTAAAAAATATTTCATACGGTGTTTTTCTTTCTAATGTGTTTGCTAACAGTCTGTTTTTTAAATACGCGGAAGTCTTTACTGCTTCCGGCCAAAATTTTCTTGGGATTTTGGCCTCTGGCATTAAACAGTTTAACATATTCATTATAGTTCGATTGAGCCTCCCGGCTGTGCCGTTTAGTTAGTGTACGTAAGGGGGACACGGGTTTAACTAAACTCCCTTTTCGCGAGCAAAATTAATTGTTTTATTATTAATGTATTCGGTATTCGATGCCGTTAGCGCATCTTATCTTGCGCTAAACTTGCTCTTTACTTTTGATACAAAAAAATTTAATTAATTTACTGTAGTCGTCAGTAAACGTAAGAAAATATTTTTCCCCATTGCTTCCGGGAGTACTATGAGGGCCATTTAGATCTGTGTGTACTAACTGTAATATTTCGTTTGCTTTAGTTCTATTATTTACGAAAGCCGCATTGTTTATTTTATTTTCAAGACAAATGATGCATTTCATGAAATCACTTTCAATTTCTGAAGGTAAGTTGTCTACTAGGTTGCTTTTGCACAATTTATTTAGCGAGCTGAAATTAACATGGCCTAGTCTTCTATGTCATTTCTCTGTGAGGGTAATTTTCTTATTAGTTATATTTTGTATTAAGGTATTTGCATTTATTTCGCTTTTATGCAAATTAACAAAACTTCTCATTACGTACAAATTGTTCGATTCATGGGCAATGGCAACTAAGTTGTTAGAGCTATTGTAAACTTTACATAATTTGCCTTCAGATAAGATTTTATTTTTTTTTTGTTATCTTCTTATAACTCAAAACATTTGCTTTCATTCCTTTAACAAAGTATACATTTTTAATCGTAATAGTTGATTTTTTATTAAAAGTGAGAAAATTTGCTACAAATGTACCGATTTTAGTTGCCTGTAATGTACGACCATCACCAAGTTTAACTTCTGAAGGTTTATTCAAAGTTATTGATTCTCTAAAATAAACATCATCATTTACGATATGATCGGTACAGCCGCTGTCGAGCAGCCAAATTAACTTGTAAGTAACATCGTTTGCATTGTACCTACATGTATCACTTATCTCGCTACTTATATTTACCATAAAAACGCTGCTGTTGTTGTTGCTTTGTTGCGTACGTCCTCTTCCTCAAAAAGCGTCGCGTTTGTTTGACCCACGTCGACCTTGAGAATTTCCCCAGTTGTTGCTTCTGCCTTTGCCTCGTTGAAAATGTGAATTTTGCTGGTATGCGTTATGATCACTTTGGTTAACGGGATTGTGTGTGCAGTTTTTGCTCATGTGGCCATATTCTCTACACCTGTAGCATTGGATGTTCGAGCTGTATCCATACGTTGAATTTTCGCCTCTTTAGGCCACAAACACATTTGACCTGGACATTGAGCTGCTGCAGTTTGTGTTGCTGGTCGGGTTGATAGCTTTAAGCTTGATTTTTTTGCTTCAAATATTCGCAGGTGCTGTCTTTTGCCGGTAGCACATCGATAAGGTGGCCTATGTGGCTGTATGATGCTGGTAGTGCTTTGATCGTGAAGTTGAGTTTTTCTTCTTCCATGACAGTCGCCCCAGCAGCCTCGAGATTATTAACTCCTTTCTCAAAAGCATTAAAAAATTCATCCACACTCGAGAAACTGTCGAGTTTAATGAAAAAGTCTTAAAATATAATAGATTTTATAATTCCAACGGAAACACAGTACCGATTTTTTTTGTATGGAGAGTGTTGCAGTCTACTGTAACTAGCACTTTGTTATACTAAAATTTAATGGTCTAATGGTTAATGCGCCTGCGGGCATAAAAAGTTGTAATTTACCGTGTTTACAAGATGTATTAAGTTGTGTTAACTTATATCGTTTCATTCTGATGTGGACGTATAAACGCACACTTAACACGCACCGAGACTTTTTATCGTGTCGCCGCAATCCATATTGGAAATGTGAGTTAAGAGCCTCTGAACCGTGTTACTTTTCCGTACAAACACTATCTACTACAAAACGCTTCTAAACTGCCGACTTATATAAATTTTGTTATTTTCCTCCACTTTCCAACTCTCTACTTGAGTATACGTTTTACTGTGCGAGAGAAGAAGACATATAATAGTGTAGAATATTTCGTACGCCTAACACTTTTCTTCTTCCTTTATTTTCTGGTTACAATGATGTAGCAAGCATAACATAAACAAGTAAACAATTTTAGCTTAATAATAATAATAGATTGGCGCTTACACATATGTTAGTGTTTGGCCGAGCTTCTCCTCCGACTTGTGGCGTGCGCCTTGATATTGTCACACAAAGCGGAGCGACCTACAGTTTTACGCCGACTCCGAACGGCGATTGTATTTTTATGAGAAGCTGTTTTTCATGGCAGAAATACACACGGAGGTTTGCCATTGCCTGCCGAGGGACGACCGCTGTTAAGAAAAAACCTTTTTTCTATATTGTTTTTTGCGATGTTGCTTTGACCAGGGTTTGAACCCAGGTGCTGCGAAGTGGAAGCGGGCACTGCTTACCACTTCACCACAGCGGCCAACAATTTTAGCTTAAACTTTAAAAATCTTACATCAAACACAATCTTAATTTTGAAGATATTTTCAGTGTACAATTTTGCTTTTTAAAAAACCTTTCTTTGAAGATTTTGAATAAAAACTAGCACAAAAAATCTTCACTTATACGATGTTCACATGAGGCGAGTTTACAGGCAACATTTAGTTGAAAGCAACAATCGCCTGGTGTGAACCTCTTCCGCAGCGGCACGCAGAGATTGGGAGACGGATTATCAATATACGCATTTCCTTCCGTACAAATTACTAGGTATGTTCGACAATTTTTTTATATCGAATAAAATGAGCAATACCTTCAACAAAAATTGCCAAAAACAACGATAAGTCCTTACTACTTCAAACTTGCACTTTTGTATTCAAAAATTAAATGGGTTACAAAACATGTCCTCGAAAGTTTGTTGAATTTATTTGAAATATTGCACAAAGCCTGAAACTTGATATTATAAGGTTGTGTTTTTTAAGAATAAACTATATTTTTATGGAAAAAAAGGAAAATTTAACAACAAAAAAAATGCTAAAACTTGTCAAAATGTGGTGCGCTTATTATGATGGTACGGCGTGTATATGTATTTAAAACCATATCTGTAAATTTAATCATACACCAATGTATTGAGGACAACAAAGATTTACAAATGTATAAAATTAGTAAAATATTTTTAGTTTGTGAGTAATATTATACTTATTCTACCTAAAAATTCCTAAGTTATAATAGTAAAGTAAATTATAATCTAGAAGTATCAACGTTAAAACTAAGAGCCAATTTCAGATGAAAAAGCTAAATGGAAGTGAAGTTTATTTTTGGATTATCATTTAAATGCCATTTAACTTTCGTTGGGTTTCAGATCACTTTTATTGAAACATGCCAAACAAGTGGCACCACTGTTGTTTGGTCATTGAAAATGTTGTTGCACTTGTTTGTTTGTGTTCATTTTGTGCTGAAAAGCTGATTGTTGTTTGGTATAAACGCAGGCTTGCATATCGCTAGCTTAGAGTGAAAAGTTGCTAAGTCCACTTTTTATGAAAACTCATATTTTGATATAGGAGGCTAGAGAAATTGAATACGCATCGTTTCGAAAATTATAAAGGTACTTGTTTTATTTTTTCCTCTTTATAAGCAATAAAAGGAAAATCTGCTAAGTCCAAAAGAAGCACCACAAATCCGATAAGGCCAAAATAATACGACATCTTTTAATAAATATCAAATCCTTCTGATTCTTATGGAGTTTTGCTTTGCTTTAAACGCGCAAAATGTTTGATTCAAAGTCTTGCGAAATAGTTAAAGAAAATCGCTATAGGAAGATTTTTTCCTCTCCTGTAAATTTTTTAAAATGGGACTTAGCAACTTTTCTTTCTAAGCTAGCGATATCTCATATTTAAAAAGCCATTATTGGTAATGAATTTATGAAGTTAATCAACCATCTCTACTTAAATAGCTCATCTGGAATTGGGCCTGATTGTTGCAATGCGATAATGAAAATAGAGTAAGGTAAACAAGTAACTACATATTGTTTGTTTATTTAGGTGCACAAATACAATGATCTCCTAGAACGTGGCTCTTGGTCTTCTAAATTAGACTTTATCCTATCCGTTGTCGGTCTCGCCATTGGACTGGGCAATGTTTGGCGGTTTCCATATCTATGTTACAAAAATGGCGGTGGTGCCTTTCTTATACCTTATTTCATGACGCTGATATTAGCTGGCATACCTATGTTTTTCATGGAACTAGCTTTAGGACAGATGCTGACAATCGGAGGATTGGGCGTTTTTAAAATCGCGCCCATATTCAAAGGTAAGCTTGCAGGTCAACATAAATTGCAACCCTTGTTAAGAGAAACATTAAGACGGACAATGGGTCAGGAGACCGTCGTTACTGCCATCAAATATACTAAAGCTGTTAAACCTTCTAAAGTGGATAGAATGTTTTCATAGACATATCCTCTAAGTATTAGAAACAATTTTGGGAAACAACATTATTTTTATTATTAGAAAATGATCTCAAAGTACTTTTTTTATGTGAAAGCATCTTAGCTCTCGGCATGGGTAAAATTTGCGTTAAACGCAGCAGAAAATGTGTAATTTCCTCAGAAACACCCTGTATTTACTGCTATAGTGGCTATAGTATTTGCTAGCGGAATTCCACAACGAAAATTTGACCGCCTACAACGTTTTGTTACATAGTGTTATTAATTTGTACTACAGGAGTGTATTGGTAAAAAGCAAGGCGGCCATTTTAAAAATATCGAATTTTAACTCGGCTACTTAATATACTGATGAACATATGTTAAGATAATATGATACAAAATAGCGCAAAGTGAGGAAGAGGGTAAAGGCCAAATGATATTTGATGCATTTCTAGAGGTTTGTACATTTCGGCAGTCACAGAATGGTGTTTTTTTTTACGAGAACGAACTAATCTTAATAAAAAAAGCCCAAACAACACCACTCCTTAACTGTCAAAATGTTCAAATTTATACAAATTCACCAATCGTGTGATCGAATATTATAAGTCAGACCATAAATGAAATATATTTTTTCCTAGAGCAAAAATTAAACAAATCTACAGTATACGTGTGAGCTTTGTGTGTATGCGGTATTTCATGCGCGCTCGGTTGTTTTTGCAGTAGCAGCGAAAACATTTATTTGCACATTGCAATGCTGCAACGAGTTTTGTAGTCCCATGTCCAGGCATGGCCAGAAAACGAGCACTCGCGCAAAGAGCATAACCATCGCTTGGTGCTTTAAGCACTAGATTTAGTGCTTTTTGAATATTAAAACGCCTAAAAAAATTATTTACTGCCTAGTGCCCTTTTTAGTGCTTTTTTTCTGAACTAAAATTACTCCGATATAGTTAAGACTTGAAATAATTTTTAAATATTTAAAGCTGTAGCAGCACTGAATTTACAAAAATCTACAAATTTAAATGCTCTTAAATACAACCATGATTGATAAAAAACTGAACTTGCAAACCCACCTTGTTCAATTCTATTCGCCTTGAAAATGCTAGTAGATATGCGAGCAAGTTAAGTATTTCTTTTTTTCTTTTCTAGTTATTTGTAAAAATCTTAATTTTTGTACCACCTGAGTAAAACACATCGTTTCTTGGTGCCAAATCTGGCCGCACAATTGTTCTAGCACTAGAATTTTGAGATATCCTAACCCCAAAGTGCCAAAATCACGGTTTTTGGCGATATTTGAGGTTATATAATGTAAACATAAATTTTTTTGCTCATTTCTACTTAGGGCATGATTTTCGTTTGTTGGGATTCGATTTTTCTTTCTTGAGATATATCAGTTTTAAGGTGCAGTTCTTCGGTGTTACTTCGTAAGCATGAGTCATTATAATATGTAGCTGTTCAATCGTTATGAGCGAAAAAGTTTTGTTTATTGATTGTTGCAAATATTGTTAATTTTTTGTTTTTGTTAAATACATACAAACTTTTATGAAAAAAGCATCCATTGATTCAAAACAATTTGGTGCTTTTTGTGTGGTAAAACGCTTTTTTCCAAGTTTTTGGTGCTTTTTGAAAATCGAAAGTTGGCAACACTGCAAGCCAGAGCGTAACGATGAGAGCGCGACAGCATGTAAAATTACTATGCAGGAAATGTATCTAGCTATAACTTAAATTGAAGTTGATTAGGAAGGAACTATATATATATTTTCTTTGTGGCGATGGCCGCGAATAGTCAAAATTACCTCCGCATTAGGTGTAGTCAAGGGTGGTCACCTCTGCATTTGATGTGAACTAAGTACTTTTGGACATAAAATATCAATAAGAAAAACAAAATATTTTTTTTTTGTTTTTTTTACTTTTTTTATTTACTATCTTTTTTATTTATTTACTTCATTTTATTACATTTCAAATTTGTTTACATATTCTGCTGTAGGTGGTCCCATATTCGAACACCATCAGACATAACTTCAAAATGATAATATAAAATTTCGATCTGCCTTTTATTTGTCCTCAGTTCAATTCAAAGAAAACAATCTCTTGCTTACATCTGTATTACTCCTGCATTACTTTTAAACTAGTTTCTAGTTAGCTTTTTGTAGCTAACCACAAGTAATATATTTTTTAAAAATCCTGAAAAAAACTAACTACGAATTGGTTATTTTTTATCAATTGATAATTTCTCACTTTTAGCTAACGCTTGTTTGGGGTAGTGCCCACGTCTGCTCATGTCCATAATTTGCGTATGCTTTTTTAAACTGCAGCAAACCACCACGCTGGTTATGTAAATTAATAAAAAACTTCCCTGCAGCGAGTTCGCTGACAATTGTCGCTTTCGTACTAGTTACATTACCAGTTCCAATAGCATGTTATGTTCCTATCAGTGCTGCCAACTATTTTCGAGTAAAATCCAGATTTTTATCAAAACCCGCTAGAAAAAAATTAAATTCCACAAAACAAAAGCTGAAAACTAGATAGTTTTATACTAATATTATTTTAAGCAATTCATTTAAAACGATACTTGAAATTAAAATTAATAATCGAATAATACTGCAGGGATCGAAGTTCATCAGAAATGCAAAATGAGAACAAAAGTTAACATAACACATATAAGCGTATACCGCTGACTAAATAAAGTTCCAGGTCTGCATTAGACCAAGATAGTGAAAGTAAGAATTAAATATAACGAGTACGGTCGAGTGCAGTTGCAGTCTTTGTTCCTGATAATTAAAATTAAAATATAAAAAGATATTGCATGTATATTGAATGCAAACGTGATATTTCATGCAGTGATATTTCTTTCAAACTCGGAGCAATTGAAGTTTCCAGTGCGAGCCGCGTATTTGGCCAGAAATAACAAAGAAACCAAATATTATCTTACATTTAACATTTTTTATCAACGAGAACAACTATGGCGCCTAGCACAAGAAGGAATAAGAAACAACAACAAAACAAAGCAATTGTAACTAATTCAAGTGAATCGAGTGACGAAGAAACAAGTAGCACTAGCTTAACGACAATAATAGACGAATTACAAAAACAGTTTAAAGTGCAAGACAGAGCTATGAGCAAAATAAAAAGCTCACAGCAGCATATGAGTGATAGTTTCGACTCACTCAAAGCTGAGATAAGTAGACTTGCTGAAGAAAACAAACAAATAAAGAAAGAACTAAATGAGTTAAAAACAAAGAACGCAAATATGAAAACGAGTGTCAAAAAAATGGAAAGAGACATACTGACAATTAAACAGCAGGCAAATAAAAACAATGTAATGATCACAAACTTGCCGAAAATTGCAAAAGAAAACTTAAAAGATGTCATCGCCAGTATTGGGCAACAAGTAAATGTGGATGTAAATACGAACGAAATAATCGATATTTACCAAAATGAAAATAAAAAGTTCAAAACATTTCCAATTATTGTTAAATTAAGTAATGGCGATTTTAAAAGAAAATGTATGGAGTTTAGAAAACTTGGAAATAATATTGATGTCAGTAAATTTATCCCCAACACCAACATGATGGGTAAAAATGTAAATTTCTATCACCTGTTGGAGAAGGATCTAAGTGAACTGATGAAGAAAACAAAACAAGAAGCAATAAATAAGAAGTACCAATACGTATGGATGAGAGATGCCAGAATTTTAGTGAGAAAGGAGGAAAATTCAGCAATTATAGAAATAGATTCTATAGAAGATTTAAAAAAGTTAAAATAGAAAAACCCATAAAATTTTTATTTTTACATAGTCAGCTAATATTTGTTATTATCCATGGATTATTTTGATAATCAAATAAAAAAAAACGTTCAATATAAATGCAATGAGTTAAATTGTAAAATTGATGAAACTAACCTTAATATTCTTTATTTAAACATACAAAGTATACGAAATAAGCTTCAGGATTTAAAAACTTTGATTGAGGAAAATAAGAAAAAGAAAGGCATTGTTCATGTGGTAGCTTTAACTGAAGTATGGATCTACGAAAATGAAAATAAATATTATAATCTTCCCAATTACAATGCATATTTTGCCAATCGGGAACTAAACAGAGCCGGTGGTTGCATACTTTTTGTACACGAATCTATTTGCTCTTCACAAGTATCTTGTAAGGAATTTGAAAAAAGTAGTTTTTTAATAATCAAATTAATCAAACTTGATATTCATCTTGCTTGCGTATATAGAAATTGCTCCTCTGATATTCCGTCGTTTGTGAATGCCTTTGAAGGTGATGTATTGCAAATAAAAAGTTGTATTATTATGGGTGACTTTAACATAAACCTTCTTAATGTTACCAACGATACCATAAATTATCTAAACAGTATATACAGTAACGGGTTCTGTTGTCTAAATGAGCTTAGTCAGGATATGCATACAAGGAAGGGCAATAGTTCAAGTACCATAATTGATCATATTATAACTGACAAAGTAAACTACAAATATGTTTTTGCGTTGGAAGATCACCCTATATCTGATCATAGAATTATACATCTATCTGTAAGTTTAAATAAAAATATAAATCAGCCTAGTAGAAACAAATACATGAGTGTATTGGATTATAATGCTTTTGAGAGAAACGGTTATATCAATGACATTATGCGCAGTAGGACCTTCTCTGATTTTCACGCCTCTTTGTGCTCTAGCATAAACAAATCAACTAAATCTATTAAAAAGTCCAGTGAAAAATGTAATAGTCCGTGGATGAGTAGTGAACTTTTGAAACTAATTGGGAAAAGAAACAAGCTATACAAATTAAAAACCAAGTACAGAAATAATATTTACTTTGAAACGGAATTTAAAAGACTCAAAACTCAGGTCAGAAATTTAACACATTACCAAAAGAAA